AGGTATTAAATTTCACTTTGGTTCATGATTTTGACATGGTCAATGATTTTGAAATCAATTGGGAGCAACCGGCCAATAAACACATATCAATCCCGCGGATCCTCTAACCACCTACGAAAAAGAAGCGTCAAAATGTGACATTGTAGCACTAATATAGTACATGCAGACACCGATGCAGAATATTTTCCACTTAAATACGAGTGGATTAGAAGATAATACAGAATCACGCCCTTAGAGGTCCACCAAAACATCGCATTATAAAAAAATGAAAGAACGAACTCCATCATCTCCCTCACTTGCCAAACCAAACATTGTCCCTTGAAAATATAAGGTATATATTTTTTTGGAAAGACCAATATCTAACTTTGAGTAAGTTCAGAGCCAAACAAAATCTACATTCACAATTCATATGAGATAAAATATGAAAATTCATTTTATGATGAACCTAATGATACCAGTCTGGTCAAACTTAAAGAGGTTTGGCGTGTGAGGGACAAATGTGATACATGCAGCCACCGTCGTTGAAATTTCCCCACATAAATATACGTTGGTTAGCGGATAACACAGAACCACACAACGAAAATGTCCATGAAATCATTGCATTGTAAATTAAAATAAAAGAAAACACACCCATCACGTCCCCACCAAACAAAATAATCCACCAGTTTCTAAATATAAGGGGTATTAGCTTATTGGAAAGTCAAATTGCTTTAACTTTGACCAAGTTTAGAGCAAAAAATATCGACATCGACAATATTATACAAAAAAATTATCAAAATTCATTTCATGATGAATCTAATCATAGCGATTTGGTATTATGGGTTTTGACAAATTTCTCAACAAATTTGATCAAACTTAAAATGTTTGAGTTTTGGAGAAAGTAATACACCTTATATTTTGAAACGGTGGGAGTAATCTTTTTTAAGATACTCAATACCATCAACGGGGGAGCAATGCGCCCCAACTCTTCTAGTAAATACAATATGCTCCATAATTTTTAAGGTCTTATAATTAATTGAGGTCTTCAAATTAAAGTTGGGTCATCCAATATTGACTGGGTCAACAATTTCTATAGAAGCTCTCTCGTTCAATTCATAATTCAGAATGCTTCTTAACTTTGTATCATTTTCATCCGATTGAGGTATTCAATTTTGAATTTGGTTCTTTGATTTTGACCTGGTCAATGATTTTGAAATCAATTGGGAGCAACCGGCCAATAAACACATATCAATCCCGCGGATCCACTGACCACCTAGGAAAAAGAAGCATCAAAATGTGACATTGTAGCACGAATATAGTACATGCAGACACCGACGTAGATTTTTTTTATAAATATGAGTAGATTAGTTGATAATACAGAATGACACCGTTAGAGGTCCACCAAAACATCGCATTATAAATAAATGTAAAAACACACTCCATCATCTCCCTCATTCGCCAAACCAAACATTGTCCCTTGAAAATATAATGTATATTTTTCTGGAAAGACCAATATCTAACTTCGGGTAAGTTTAGAGCCAAAAATATCAACATTCACAATACGAGATAAAATATGAAAATTCATTTTATGATGAACCTAATGATACCAGTCTGGTCAAACTTAAAGAGGTTTGGCGAGTGAGGGACTAATGTGATACATGAAGCCACCGTCGTTGAAATATCCCCACATAAATATATGTTGGTTAGCGGATAACACAGAACCACACCATGAAAAAGTCCATGAAATCACCGCAATAAAAATTAAAATAAAATAAAACGCACTCCATCACCCCCCCCGGCCAAACAAAATAATCCACCAGTTTCTAAATATAAGGAGTATTAGCTTTTTAGAAAGTAAAATTACTTTAACTTAGACCAAGTTCAGAGCAAAAAATATCAACAATATTAAACAAAAAGTTATCAAAATTCATTTCATGATGAATCTAATCATAGCGATCTGGTATTATGGGTTTTGACATATTTCTCAACAAATTTGATCAAACTTAAAATGTTTGAATTTTCAAGAAAGTAATACACCTTATATTTTGAAACGGTGTGAGTAATCTTTTTTAAGAAACTCAACACCACCAATGGGGCAGCAATGCGCCCCAACTCTTCTAGTAAATACAATATGCTCCATAATTTTTGAGGTCTTACAATTAATTGAGGTCTTCAAATTAAATTTGGGTCATCCAATATTGACTGGGTCAACAATTTCTATAGAAGCTCTCTCTTTTAATTCTTAATTCACTATGCTTCTTAACTTTGTACCTTTTTCATCCGATTGAGGTATTCAATTTTGAACTTGGTTCATGATTTTGACCTGGTCAATGATTTTGAAATCAATTGGGAGCAACCGGCCAATAAACACATATCAATCCTGCGGATCCTCTGACCACCTAGGAAAAAGAAGCGTCAAAATATGACATTGTAGCACTAATATAGTACATGCAGACACCAACGCAAAATATTTTCCACATAAATATGAGTGGATTAGCAGATAATACAGAATCACACTGTTAGACGTACGCCAAAACATCACCTTATAAATAAATGTAAAAACGCACTCCATCATCTCCCTCACTCGCCAAACTAAACATTGTCCCTTGAAAATATAAGGTATATTTTTTTTGGGGAAAAGACCAATATCTAACTTCGAGTAAGTTCAGAGCCAAGAATATCAACATTCACAATATGAGATAAAATATGAAAATTCATTTTATGATGAATCTAATGATACCAGTCTGGTCAAACTTAAAGAGGTTTGGTGAGTGAGGGACTAATGTGATACATACAACCACCGTCATTGAAATTTCCCCACATAAATATACGTTGGTTAGCGAATAACACAGAACCACACCACGAAAAGGTCCATGAAATCACTGCATTGTAAACTAAAAAAATACACTACATCAACCACACCCCCCGCCAAACAAAATAATCCACCAGTTTCTTAATATAAGGGGTATTAGCTTTTTGGAAAGTCAAATTACTTTAATTTTGACCAAGTTCAGAGTAAAGATCAACAATATTAAACAAAAAATTATCAAAATTCATTTCATGATGAATCTAATCATAGAAATTTGGTATTATGGGTTTTGACAAATTTTCTACAAATTTGACCAAACTTAAAAGGTTTGACTTTTGAAGAAAGTAATACACCTTATATTTTGAAACCGTGGGAGTAATCTTTTTTAAGAAGCTCAACACCACCAACGGGCAGCAATGCGCCCCAACTCTTCTAGTAAATACAATATGCTCCATAATTTGTAAGGTCTTACAATTAATTGAGGTCTTCAAATTAAAGTTGGGTCATCCAATATTGACCGGGTTAACAATTTCTATAGAAGCTCTCTCGTTCAATTCTTAATTAACTATGCTTCTTAACTTTGTATCTTTTTCATCTGATTGAGGTATTCGATTTTGAATTTGGTTCATGATTTTGACATGGTCAATGATTTTGAAATCATCTGGGAGCAAGCGGCCAATAAACACATATCAATCCCGCGGATCCTCTGACCACCTAGGAAAAAGAAGCGTCAAAATGTGACATTGTAGCACTAATATAGGACATGCAGACACCAACGCAGAATTTTTTCCACATAAATATGAGTAGATTAGCAGATAATACAGAATCACACTGTTAGAGGTTCACCAAAACATCGCACTATAAATAAATGGAAAAAAACACTCCATCATCTCCCTCACTCGCCAAACCAAACATTGTCCCTTGAAAATATAAGGTATATTTTTTTGGAAAGGCCAATATCTAACTTGGAGTAAGTTCAGAGCCAAAAATATCAACATTCACAATACGAGATAAGATATGAAAACTCATTTTATGATGAATCGAATGATACCGGTCTTGTCAACCTTAAAGAGGTTTGACTTTTCAAAAAACTGATACACCTTATATTTTGAACGGAGGGAGCAAATAAATTATGAAAAACCAACAACACCAATGGTGCATCAAAGCGCGCCCAAGCTTCTGGGAGATAATAATCTGCATAATAGCGGAGTCAATCGGTCTGGACTAGCTAAATTTACCGGCAAGGAAAAAGTTGCATGCTAAAATTTATAGTATGTTACAAAAAGTTTTGCTTGAACAGATGAACTGACCTAATCATCTAAATCGGTAAATTATATGCATAATTAATAAGGCTAACATGTTTTCTAACAAAAAATTACTAGCAAACAATTTTTTTAAACAAAAGGTGTAGATATATACGTGTTACCCTCATGTCGATTTGAATTACAAAATCAAGGTTTGGCGATGTGGCAGTGCTCGACCGGCGAGGTCAGGGCTTTGGCGGTCTCGTCGCTGCATGTGAGCACAATGAAATGAAATCTGGAGCCAGCCGCTAGCCACGGTACAAACGGCAGGCTGCACGCTGCAGCAACTACTCCACGGAGTATTATTAATATTTTTGGTGCGCTACTACTTCTTCACAATTTACTTTAAGAGTACAAAGCGCCCTCCTTCCGAAAAGTATTGGACAAAAAGGAAAAAGAGTGGGGGCAGCTGCCTCCACGGCGTACAAGTAGTACAACGTAGGTCCACCGTATCCCTGCCATGTGGGAAAGGCTTCAGGCTGCGTTCGCGAGGAGTAGTGGAGTAGTACTCGTTGTTTGATTCTCCGTCTCGCCGGTGGTCGCCGGTTGTACTCACTCTCCGCCATCCTTCTGAAAATGTGTAGTGGCGAGGCAGGCTTTGCAGCTGTAGCTGGCTTAGGCTGTCGGGTAGTAGCTAGCAGACCTAGTAGTAGTACCACAGGGCTACACCTCCTAGCGGTCCAGTAGCTAGCTAGGGGACTAGTACCACGGGGCTGCAACTGTACTGTAGCTGTCGAGTAGCAGTACCACTACCACCACGCGGGGTAGCTAGTCTTGCACTACTGGAAGCCCATCATCCCCCTCCCCTCGCTCACTCCCCTCCCCTCCCCTATATAAGAAGTGCTCATGTATGAGCTTGTAGCAGCACTCCACCAGCAGCAACTAGCCTTAGCCCGTAGTAGCCCGCAATGTCGACACCCGGCGACGACAAGAAGCCCCTCATGTTTATCCAGCTTGCGCGAAAGAGTGTTCAAATCCACACTGGCATAGTGAACACCTTGTTTGGCATCTGTGTCTTCGCCATCGCCATTACCACCTTCGCCTCCAACTCCTCCTCCACGGCCTCATGTCTTGCTCCTAGCCCCCCAAGCGACCCTGCCTGCAACCCAACCAAGATGCGTGGGTACATCAGCATGTGTGAGCGATGGCTAGCGTGTTTCATCGTTCTCTCCTTGATCTCCATCAACGTGGTTCGGATCCTCGTCGAGAGTGCGCACGAGGCCCACCAATGGGTCGCCAAGGAGGAGGAGGCCAAGTACAAGGCCGCCAAAGACGCCTACGAGCTGGCCAGACGCAAGCTCGAGAAATTCAACGGGCCCCTCTCCCACCGCAACCGCGAGGCGCGCGATCCCGCGGCTGAGCAGCCGCACCTTGGTGCGGCGGCTCTGAATGCCGCGCAGGAGGAGCACGACAGGCTCTTCACCGACGAGAAGCTCGCAAAAAGGGAGATGAAAAGGTTAGTGCAGAAACAAGGCATGGAGCGGATTGAGGGATGGCCGTTGGTTGTGATCCGTGGTTTGTTCTTCTTCTCGGTTCTTTGCTCCCAGATTTCTTGCGGGTTTGCAACAGCAGGCTTCTATTACTCCAGGCAGATAGAGTCGCGCTGTGCTCTCGGTCCGCTTGATATCCTTGCTTTCGTGTTGATTGGAATCGTTTCACTGCCGTACCATTTGTTCCTTTTCTGGGTTTCTCTGCGCGGGAACTAATGATGTCGATGATGAGTTTCAAAGCGGTCGGTTTGTTAGGCTAGGTCTTCAAAGCTGATGTCATCGTGGGCAAGATCAGCATTAGTAGTAGTAGTTTTAGCGGATTCCGTGTGTGCTAGTAGTTAATTTGTACCAGTTCATTTGTATCCCTTGTTGTAATAGGTCTTCAAAGCTGATGTCCCCATGGGCAAGATCAGCATTAGTTTAAGCGGAATCTGTGTGCGCTAGTAGTTAATTTGTACCGGTTGAAACTCATAAGTACTATGTAATCTTCCTTGTAATCCCTTGTATGACATATCGTGTATCGAGCAACTATTTACTTCACTGTTTCAAACATTACTTAATTATTTACTTATGTATGCTGTGCGAGGGCGGAAGCACCCTGCTAATGTCGGAAAAGCTATCCCTATGTGTTATTTTTCTTAAACTAAAAACAAATTCGATGTCCATTTGAAAAATAATGATAATAAGAGGTATAGTAAACACTTTGGTGGGGAGGGGGGCTGCCAGATTTTAATTTCGAACCAAATGTAATATAGTATTATTTTCTATGCAACTACAATAATTCTGTTAATCGTTGGACACTCAAACTGAAGCCTCATAAACTAATATTTCTCAAGGGAAAGTTGTTATAAGAACCTGTTATCACACATGGAAATATTGGAAGGAACATTACTTATGGGAAAACTAACTTTGTAGGTTAATTGTGGACAATGATTTCTACAAAAAACCACGTGACATATGTGGTAAGCAATTTAAACTAATCCAAAAAATCATTTCTACAAAAAGAAATAGGGAAGGCAGATTGTACGCCAAGAACCCCAGTTATATTATCATATCTGGATCAATGCATGAACATCTTGATCTAGATCCAAGCAAACATGAAAAAAGAAAACAAAAATATTTGTACCGACTAATCTTAACGTGCAGCACTATTACAGAGAACATAATATATAGTTGGACTGAGCAATGCCAAAATAAATTCTATTCTAACAGTCTTCTAAGACAGCATCCAGACTGCAAAATAAAACTACCATAACACCAACACACAAAGTTACATCAACATCAGCTATACCAGGAATTATGGAACTGCCAACAACAATGACAAACTGAAGAGGAAATAAAAATAACGGAAGGAATCTAAGAACTCAGAGGAGGAAATACTTCACCGGAGAAGTAAAATGCATACATTTATATCCTCTCTTTAACAGATTAACATTGGAAAGTTTGAAGGGTTCCAGTAGTAGCAAAGTCTGTCCGAAACAGAATTCTGCAGAACTACGCTATAAACTGCCCACATCGAAGGAGCATGTCTCTATACCACAACCTCTGAATTCATGCAGCGAGATACATTCTATGAATTCATACTATGCGTGCGCTCGAGAAGCAATATATCTTGCAAACTGGACATAGCATCAAAGAGATGGTAGCACTCACATTCGAACGACATACATACCACACATAGTATATCTCTGCAGCAAGTAACGGGGCTTGTCCAGAAGAAAGAAAACCAGGACAGAGCAAATAAAAAATTATGACACAACGACTACACTAAAACTTCCAAAATATGTATTCCAGTTAGACATTCTTCTCTGCAACACATCAGAAAATCAATTAATAAATGAAGTGGGATAAAAGAGAGGTAAGACTTAAATTTTTAATCTTTACTTGCTGAAGAAAGCCAAAACAGAGCAACCACTATAGTGGAACGAAGCCATCAATAGCAGTGTGTTTTGCAACATATGAAAATATCAATTAACAAAGCAAGTAAAGTAAAGCAGATGCAAGCTGCAAGAGAAGAAGAAAAGGCATTACTTCTGTTTACCAAATAACATCTTGCATACTACGGAGCATCAGTGATTAGTTTGTATACAATGTTTTCAGTAATATAAAATTGAAATAAAGAGCACGACTATCAACATTGTTTTGTACGGTTAGTCTTCCAAAATCATACATTTTCCCTCAGTTTTGTCAATGACATTCATATGATTAAAATGCCCTCCTGATTCAAGTAAAAGAAAGATTAATGTTGCAGATCCTAAAAGAGAATAGTAAAGAGAGCACCACCTACCAAAAATACCGCATTCATCATGCATAATGTTTTTTGGAGATAGATATAGCAAAAATGATATAACTGCATAAATTTGGATTTGACTACTTAGCCTAGCGCAACCATATACATCGTCACCATTAATAAACTGGACCATGGTATAGGAACAATACCTTACAGCCACTTAGATTGAACTCCATTATCTGCTCACTCT